CCCATGTACCTGATGGTACCACTGTGGTGGAGGTGGCTCGTGTCTGGCCTGCAGAAATGCCTCCTCCCCAGGTTACTATCACTATGAGTGGCATTGCCCTTTAGGAAAGCCAGATTCCCTACATCCATGCAAAATCAGAGCCAAATTCTAATACCTAGGGACTAGGTTCTGGGAGGAGGCCCAGTGGGGATCTGCCAGGTGGCCCTAGCATCTTGTTTTATGAACTTTTGGTCTGACCATGTTGTTTCTAATCATGTTCAACAGACTGGCCTTGCTTTCTCACTGTGTCCTTGGAGGCTCATAATGGTTATGAGCATGAGCTCTGCTTTCAAATCCCAGCTATGCCACCACACTCCTCACAAGCAGGCTTCCGTCACTGTCCCACCATGTAACATCAGTTCATATCCATGAACCCATGCATTTGCTGCGCCTGGACTAGGCTATCTCTTTCCAACCTACGCCAAGCCTGACAATACTCGGCTCCATTGCTAGCTTCCAAAGAAAGCCAATAACCCTAACCTACTGTGAGTTTTGTCGTTTTACTAAAGGTTTATAGGGTCAGGCTGAAGTGCTGGGCACACAGTATATACAGACCATTTCACTTGAAAAGTGCTCTCATTAGATACCTATTAGCAAGCTCTTCCCCCAAGTCTCCCAGGAAGAGCTATCAACAGGAATTCTCCATCTTTCCTCCTCCTTTCATCCAGCCTCTCCTCCACCCCAGGTTTGTCTCCCCTTTCCCAACCCTCCCCTCCTGTTCCTTCCTTAATCTCTCACCCCTTTTTCATTCAGAGCATTTGTGCAGACCCAAACCCACAAATTCAGCAAGCAAACCACACCAGCACTCTTGCTTCTAAAAGACTGACATGGCATAGCCTTTCTGTAACAATCGCACAAGCTTCCCCCTGGGGGCTGTGTTGGAGTCCTTGATGCAGACCCACCAGTGACGGGGAGAAGTCAGAGGTTAGAGACACAGACCCTGACAGGGTCAGAGATCCCAAATGGCCACTGGGATCTTGAGCGAATTACTTCTCTGAACCTCAGTTTCTCCAACTATAAAATGAAAGCTAGCCCTGGCTGGTGTTGCTCAGTGGTTAGAGTGCTGGCCCACATACAGAAGGGTTGTGGGTTTGATTCCCAGTCAAGGGCAAATACCTGGGCTGCAGGTTCAATCCTTGGCCCAGCTGGGGCTTGTGTAGGAGGCAACCAATCGATATGTCTCTCTCACATTGATGTTTCTCTTTCTCTCTCTCTCTCTCCCTCCCTCCTCCCTTCTTCCCTTCCACTCTCTCTAAAAAGCAATGGAAAAAATATCCTCAGGTATGTAAAAAAAAAAAAAAAAGAACACTACACTAAAAGATCCAAGACCGCTTCCAGGTTCCACATTCAACAGTTTGTGGTAACTATCTCGCAAAATCAAAAACTTATAACTGAGGTACGTACGACTCACTCTCAGTGGTCCTGAAGTCTCTCAGGTTCAGGTTTAAAGAACCATAATTACTTGGTCACTACCATATTTCTTATACTCTCATCCTGCAAAAACTTCACAATTTGAAGAAAGTTTTGCTTCTGCTCCTTACTCTGGTCCAGCCCCGCAGAGAGTGTGAACTTACAATGAATGCACATGAATAGAGCAGCATTGTCTTCCTCTCGAGGAAATTATTAGGAAAACTATGAGTACTTTTGTGGAAGGAGGGCTGCTTTTGTATCTCTCATCTTTTTCAATGAGCAAACAAGAGTGCCATGACACTCTGGTTAGAGATTAAATATTACATCCGCTCTATTTTCACTTTCAGTTCTTTCAGTGTTCCCACCAAAATGATTCCCAGAAATTAGCACAAAGGGGGAATAAATTGTGACAGAACATAAAATTCTGCTTACCTCTGACTTGTTTGCTTAATTCCCTACAAACTAAAACCCAGATAGTAAAAAAAATTAAAAAAAAATCTGCCCAAAGCTGTGTCCTGGCAGAGAGAGACATGAGTGTCGACTCCTGCACACGCCGTCCTGGCTAAGCTTGCTTGCTTTTGTCAATTCTCTGATTCTCTGGAAAAAAGATTATCTATCCCCAAAGCCATTAAGCTTCTAACTAGGATAAATAATGGTAAAAAGTTTCTGCCCATGAAAAACAGTCCTCCATTGTCAGACATTCTCTCTTAATTGATCTTAATAAGTGATTTTAAATGGAGGGGAAGGAAAAAGCATAGCACTAGCACATGGTAATTATCTGTAATTCTACATTTGTAATGTCGCTGAACGGACATTACAAATAATGCAAATGTGAACAGATGCTGACTAGAGCTTTACAATGACATCGAAATTAGGGTTATTTTGTACAGTAAGTAACATGACTAAGTTGTAGTTTTTCAAAGGCAGGTTTTCATCCCAGTGACAATATATATCACAGACTGCTGGGAACTGTAATGAGATGAAATTTCCACAAGGCACGACCCGTGGGAATAGGCAGGGCCAGAGACGTTTAACATTGTGTCTGAAAAGCTGATCAGTGTGGCAGGAACTCATCTAGCTGCTAATATCTGATGTAAAATTCGGTGATTCTACAACAGCTTTAAAGTGAGAAGAGAAATAGACTCCCCAGCCGCCTAGTTAGGTATTTTGGCAACTTAAAAAAGACTATAATCCCAGCATTTTTAGAGGTAATTTAAAATCAAACATCCTTATTTTACACATGAGAAAAAGAAACCCCAGAGGTCTTATAGGTGTTGGCAAAGCTCACAGGCCTCTGGTGTGGTGGAGAGGGGTGGGTGAAGGGCCCTGGAAAGATCACTGCTCTCTACCTTACTGGTAACTTCATTTTACCTCCTGTAATCAACATTTCCCTTTATGTTTTTTGACATCAATAAGTAATCCCTCAGATTTACTCTGTGCCCCATATGGAACTGTGTGCTAAATGCTAAGGTTACTATAATAATTAAGACACACCCAGCATAGTGAGAATAACAACCTAATGCCTCAGCAATAATACAAATTATCACGTTTTTTAAATTTCACATATCTTCAGTCCAGAAATGTCAGTGATCTTGTGGGAGTTTGTACACCCGTGTGAGGGAGTGGGGGTGCACGCTGCGCACGAAGTAATCTGGGGACATCAACAAAAAAGGACAATGTTGGGTTTGGAGTTGAAGATGTACTAGGAAGAAAGATGGGAGCCCAGGTTACCAATGGCTAACAAAAAAGGGGAAAATGACCGAGACCCTAGGTAAGCAGAGACTGAAGGACCTGCCTGGAAGGCTGCACGCAGCCCTGCCTGGAGCAACAGCCCAGGGGAAAATCCGAAGGACTTTTGCACGTGGCTCACTGGAGAGCTCATGTTGGGTTTGCAATGTTGGGTTAACAATGACCAGAACTAGGGGCCACTTGCTTTCGCTTAAACAAATGATGAAACAATTGAAACTAGGAAAGAGGTGAACCAACTTGAATTATTTTTACTTTAGTTCTCCTGAAAGTTACTCAAATGAAAAAGAGTGCACCTTCTATCTATTCTGGGGGAAAATAAGTTGGGAAAGGAAAGCTGAAAAATACTTAATTTGCTTATTAGTAAATTTTAATTTATATGTAACTTCTTTTGGAATTAACAGTTCAAAATCCCACTGAAATTCTATTGTGAACTGACCTAAGCCCATTTAGCACACAGTTCAGAAAATGCCTGGTTGTTATAAATACAAGGAGCTCCCAGTGCTCAGAGGTAGGTGAGAGCTAGGTACTTCCAATCCCAAACTTACTACTGGTCTCAGTCCAAATCCTGCCAATCGACAGAAGCCAGGAGGCACAAAAGCAGTTTGTCTTTTTCTGGAGGAAATTTCTTTTTTCTGTTTCAGGCACTTAGATGAGAACCGTGCAAGTTCACTCTGGGATAGACACAACAGTCTGAGGGCAGGACAAGCAAACCTGCAAGCTGGGTGGAGAATGAAACCCTTTGAGAAGTGGGGGAACCACAGCCCTCACTGCTCTGAAGGGGTCAGGATGCCTGACTTGGCAGGTTCTCATGTCTCATTCACTCAAAGGGGGGCGGGGGCAGGAGGGGTTCACCATGTATTTTATTAATGAAAAATATTTTTCAACATCCTTAAAGTAAAGAAAAACACTCAGATGATACCAACCAATTTTGGAGAACGTATTCCTAAGGAGGGCATTTCCACTGTCAACGCAACACGCCAGGAGCATGAAAGTTAATGTACACGTACATTCATGGACGGCGCTCTGTGTACTCGGTATTCTCAGAGTACATTCCAGGAAGGACAATCTGTTTCTACAGAAGGAAACTGTCCATCTTTAACCTCTAAATTTGTTGCTACTTTACCGGGAACATTTTCTCTTGTAAGTTTAAATTATTGAGAGCTGCTAAGTCTAGTTAAGCTTGTTGAAATTTTTCAAATCTAGTTTTACTCACCATTCTTTTCCCTACTAGATAAAATGCCTATTAAACCAACTGGTGATCTTGTTATGTTACTTTTATATAAAGATATCACATTCAAAACCTAAGATTTATTTCTAAGTTCTTCATCAAAATGAACATATTGTTCTTGTGTTACTACTTATGTATATAAGTATTATACCAGTATTTCACTCTATTTTAGACTTTCAAATTATGTTACCAATATTAAAGTCATGATTCAAAATGAAATTTTTAAGAAGAATCATCAAGTTCTCCAAGGCTTCATCATTGCAAGTCATTTTGCTAATAACGGGAAAACTACTACCGATAGTATTTTACCACGTTATATTCAATCCTAACCACAACCTTATGTTCCCATTTCAGAGATGGAAAGAGTTCAGCTCAGCAAAGTTCATTGAGTTGGCCAATATTACAAAATGAAACAGGACACAGGATCCAAAGTCATGTCTTTCTGGCCCCAAATCCTGACCTCTTTCCTTCTTGATTTGTTACTGCACCCAAGCCCCTGAACATATTAAACTACTAAACTATGCAACTTAAAATACCAAAATCACAGAAACACACCACATAGGCTGTTTCATACCTTTAATCCTCTGAAGCTTCCTGGGCTAGTTGGAGAGGAACTGGAGGACTTCGTAGACTTAGGAGTGGAGAGCTGGCTGCTGGGAGTTCCATTAACTGACCAGGAGACACAAAGGACACAGAGGTCATTAAAACTCAAGACAACCAGACCGTGTCCAAACAATAAGCACATGCATGAAGCTTCAATTCATTTAAAGCTCAAAGCAGATGGCAAATCAGCAAAAAGCAAAAATAATGTATCTTATTGTATTACAGACAACGTATCACACAAATAAGGAGTGAAGCTAGGATTATTTTCAACAATAGCTTTCCAACAGTGACACAGACAAAGATATAGAACATTATGGAACTAGAGATGCGAACAAGGACTTGTCCATATATCCTGGCCCCGCCAGCAAGGGTAGGGAAATGAATGGCGGTTATCTTCGTAATGGCTTCCTATGAAGACTGTCCCATAACCTCCAACATCCACTAACTTGGCATATACCAACCTGAAAAATCAAGACATTCTATGGCTCTCCCAAATCAGATCCACCATAATCCAAACACATTATTAAGTACATTCTTAATGGAAAGGGAAAATTAATGGTCATTTTCTGTGTTATATCTACTTGTTTGAAGGCTATAAAAGACACTCAACTTACTTTTTATCTAGACTAGTTATTTCTAATTCATTTTCTTTTTTTCACAGATAAATTTCCCCATTATTGAGCAAATTTGATGGTTTTTATACACCCTCCTCCAAACTTCCACATATTTCATAGGTTGAAAGTTCAATTTAGAGCCTATGCTGGGAAGAGTATAGACACTGCTTTCTTCCACAGGAAGGTTGACTGCAGATTCTGTACTACAGAACACTCATCAAACAGTTTAGTATGACTTATGCCTATTCCTAATTGTATCACCTGGATCTAAAGCTGGTAGTTAATACCTAGTATTGCTGTAATTTTTTTTCTTTTCTAAGGAGCATTTATAACCCCTCTTTTCATGACTCTTCAATGCTTTTGCCCAAAGTAGATCAAAACTGCCAATCATCTCTATGGAAAGCAAAGCAAAGTCCATCTTCTTTTGTTTTTTTAATATGAGGGAGCAGACAACTATTATTTTAAAGGATGCTAATAAGTATTAAAAGCAAAATGCAGACATAAAAGTCCTGACTAGGTGATTCAAAAAGGTGAGAACCAGTCCTTGGGTGGAGGTAGAAGTTCTGGATCTGGTATTTGTGATTAGATCAATCATATGTACACAGGGGTTGATAGGGGTCTATGAAGTCATGTTTGCTTAGTGTACTGTCATTTTAAAAATTCAGCAAAGATTAACTATCCATTAAAAACATTTTAAGAGTATTCAACAGCCATGATTTTTCTCAATTATGTTAAATTTGAATCAATGTAATATATTTTTGAAATTCTCTTTAAAGGGAACTGGTGGGAGGAATTCACATAAAATAGAGATTTTTGTGGACAGTGAACAAGAAAACTTGCTGTGAGCCTAGACCTTTTTTCCTACATCCCACACAGCAATCTGTGTTGGTCCCCAGATCCTATACAAGTAAGTGCTATTAGCTTTCAGTAATATTCAGACACCACATTGACATCAAAGGCCTCCTTGGAACCGAGACAGAAAAGAGACTAAAGAGACTAAAGAAAAAAAAAAAATTCCTGCAAATGGTGGTCTGTGTAGCAGACCAGTCTCCCTAACAATACACCCCCTGCCTAAACATATTTCTTAACAAAACTCGCTGCCGGGGTTTAACTGGTATCAGTAACTACATGTCCATATTTCCCCCCAGTTACCCCTCATCCTAAAGAGATATTGTCACATGTAGCTCTCTAAATTTGGAAGGTTCTAAAAAATGTTCTCTAATGAGCAGTCCCCCATTTCATTTATTTGCACATTTGTCCAGAGTCTTTGGGAGGGGACGTGGGACATGGGACAGGGGTCCACTGTGCCTTCTCCCCTCACTACACCCCTGATTCTCTCCCCCAAAGTGAGGCTTTTAGCCACCCCTCCCCTCAACTTCTGGTAAGAAATAAACCTGGGGACTTTACTATTTGCTTGTTTGTTTGCTCTGAATACTTTTAAAAATATGAGTCAATTATGAAAGAATCACAAGCTAGAAACCTAAAGTGAGAATTTTGAAGTCTCCAGTTATGGTAACTATTTAACCACTTATGTCTTCCAGATTAACGTCTATGTGCTTATTACACACTATTTAGCTATTACAATAAATTAGAGTCTTGATGAGGAATTTAGTCAACCATAAGACTTCACTTATGGGAGTATTTCTGTCCCAAGATCGAAAAAATACAATATTATGTTTACAAAGTTACTAGCTCTATTTGAAATTCCAATTAGTCCCTCGGAATTTTTTAAATGGTAAGAGGTAGACCACAGCTGAAGCAGTCTATAAAAGCAAGTTATTCTTCTGGCTACTGTGGCTTTAATAATACAAAACTCTTTCCCTGCTGGAAGTGGGGAGAGAACATAATATGAATAAATACATATAATAACTTTCTTATAATCTCAGTGAAGTCCCGGCGATTGACTCGGGCCTCAGTTTTCAGTGACTGCAATGTGTGGTGAACACACTTGTGAGTTATCTCTTACAAAGAAGCAGTCTGCCCTCTGAAAGGTGATTTAAGCATCTCACAACTTTTACTTATGTAAGATCTATTCTATTAACCCAAATCCAAATATGCACTGTTAAAAAACTTTGGGGTACTGGAATGTGGAGATTCTTGAATCAATTACTAAGCATTCCAAATTCGACTTAAAAAGATTCATGCATTTATTAGACTATGTTATGAAGCAGTTGGTCTGCAAGACAAATGTGGCTATGAAACATGTTTTGAGTTCAGTATGTTAATTTCCCTCTTTCAACCTCAGGGAGACGAAACTGGAATCATCATAATGCCTGATTCTTAAAACACTCTCCCCACGTTTATTTTGTTATTTTACTGTATGAGAAGCATCCATAGACCTATCACTAAAACAAAAGCTAAGAACCTGACAAAAGTCTACATTTTCCATATGGTAAGCTTAGTTCTGTGTATTTATGCAAATTTCATAGCCTGTTCCCTTTCCCAGTGTGTGAGATAACTTTACAGAAAGCATAGCATAAGCTTAACAGCAGAAAGATGCTTTCAGTTAGAAATAGGCACGTTGTCAACACTTTTAGAAAAAGGAAGTATTGGGCCTATGAAGCCCAGGGCGGGGAAGAAGGTGAGAATAGTACAGTTGCATCTGTGGCCATTTTCACATTACCAACCAACTTCAGCCTTTTTCAGTCATAGAATATTCTCCAAATTCGACTAGAAAGTAACCCCCGTGAGGCGACGTGCCTCCCCCATCACTTAGGACGGCTGCCACACGCAGACGGGCACGTGGCGACTTTCCGGCAACGCCCGGTTCCCAGCAGGCGCGGGAGGCGAAGCCCCTCCGGCCGAAGCACTTCACACGCACAGATGCACAGCGGGCGGGCGACGCAGGCGCGGGAATGGAGCAAAGGAAACAGCACTGTGCAGACAACAGAAACCCAGCCGAGTGACAAGGCCACGCTGCCCATGGCTCACCTGGGGATCTGGCTGTAGAGTAGGCACTGGCGGAGTGGCCACCCCTCTTTACTGTGCACATTCAGTATACACAGAGGAGGAGACAGTAAGGAGAGCGGTTATTCGGCAGGTCTAAACGTGCACACAAACAGAAGGGTAAACCGGCCCGGCCCAGACACCGCGGGGGTGCTGAGGGGAAGCAGTGAACGGCCCCAAACTCGGTACTTTATAAAAAGTATGATGCTTGAGACAGCTTTTATTGATTCTCCTTTCAGGTGTTCTAGATTTCCCACATGTGAGGTCATGGTTTTTCACAATCCTTTCCTTCACGGCAAATAATATCAGCAACGTTACTCATGATTATACTATAAACAAAGCTTGTAGGATCGATGTATCAAGATGTTTACGGGTGTTTTTACATATTTTAAATGCCAAAACAGTCAAATGATGACAAATCTATAGGTGTAGGACCTGAGAGAAACTAAATTCCAGTTAGGTCTGACTCTTAAATAAGTAAATACTTCTTTCCGAGAAGAATAGTTGCTGCTGTTAAATTGCTCGATGAAGGAAAAGCATGTGGAAACCTACCGAGTAAATACACTGTTATATTAGGTGTCTGTATGTGCGAGTTTTACATCAGTAAGAGAAGAAAATGTCCACAATCACAGAGCACAAAATTAAAAATGCAGTACAAGGTGGTCAAAATGTGAAACAGGTCAATGTGCATATCAGGAGAACTGAAATAATAGGATTGTTCTAAAAAAACAATGTTTCAGAAAACAAGCTAGTTTCTTAGATGACTTACTATAATTTTGAGAAAAACTTCAATTGTTGGTTTTAAAAATCATGTCATCTACATGCTGTTCTGCAACCTGGCTGCATACAAGCAGTGGAAAGTCTACGGATTCGTAATAATCGGAGAAAACTAAAGGAAACTGAGAGCTCCTTCTGTGACCATCATTCCTCCTCCATTAACTACCTGAGGCTGGTGATTTGCTGCGACGAGAGGGCCCAGGGCTCTTGGATCCAGAATACTTAGCTGCGGAGCGAGAATAAGAAGACTTCAAGACGCGGCACTCTAGAAGGAAAGGAAAAGTGCGTTAAATGCATCTGGTTTTAATACTAGCCAGAGGAAGATCGCATGGGAAAATAGTCGACTGCCTGGGACCATTACCTGATCATTTCTCTATAACAAAAGTACACCTGAAGCTACACATCTGTGACATCAACTCACTGTTCCAGGTGGACACAGAAAGCCCAGCGTCCTAACTTGATACACACACATACCCTCATCTAAACATGTGCAATGTTTTTTAGACAGCAGCATTGATAGGCAAAGGCTACACTTTTATTATTCTTTCCAAATTTTTATCCTATGCTGAAAGGCTATGTAGGACTCTAATTTATGAACCCCTTACTGTCCCATCTTTCCAAAGTGTGGAGCAGGAGAAACAAGGAAACAAACTTTAAACAATAACTTTGGTCTTCCCATAAATAGCCAAATAATGTGTAGAGTATCAGAGCTAATTAAAGCTAAAAGAAGCATTTCTAATTCGAATGATTAAGAACATGGCTTTTAAAGTCCTTGCAGATTTTGGATGAATCATAGATTTGACTTTGTAAACTAGGGGAACTTGGTTAGGCTCTAAACCTCAGTTTTTCCCCTAGGAAAATGAAATTAGAATGAAATCTGCTTTGTGGGCTTGTTCTAAGGATTAAATTAGATAACATACTGTCCATAATTTACATTAAAATACTTCAATTTATGTAGGAGGTTAAAGCGTGGGTTGGTTTTAATGTATACCCCAGGGGCAGTAAATTAACATGTGAAGTACACTAATCAGGCAAATGCACACTGGCGAGGATAGTTAGCATTTGAGAGACTCTAATCAAAACCTCACACAGAGGGAGCTGCAGCAACTTCAGCTTAGTTAATTAGCATTATGGATGTTACTAAGTATTCCATTCCTTTTTAAAAATGTTTTATTATTATTATTATTGACTTCAGAAAGAGGAAGGGAGAGGGAGAGAGAGACAGAAACATCAATGAAGGGAGAGAATCATTGATCGACTGCCTCCTGCACGCCCCCTACTGGGGATGGAGCCTGCAAACCAGACATGTGCCCTGACCGAAACTGAACCGTGACCTCGTGGTTCATAGGTCCACGCTCAACCGCTGAGCCACGCCGGCCGGGCAAGTATTCCATTCTTGAAAGGAGTGGTGTGTGGATGAGTTAGAAACACCTTAAAGGCACTGCCACTTTATGAGCAGCATGTCTAAACCTGCAGAGCCAATACTAGACCCTCAGAACTACAGTCTGGGTTTAGGAATCTGGGCCAGTCCTGCTTCCGGCTCTTAGGATTAAGTTACTTGACTAACCTAGGCTAATGGGTTTTAATGCAAGATGTCAAATCTAAAAGGACAGACAGTTGGTACTTCATCAAGATTACAACCTAAGTTAAATAACTGATTTTGAAAAAACATTACCTCCTAATATGTGTATTATGAGAACTGCTTTCACTCTAAATTTGATGACCTGATGGTGGTGTTTAACAACAACATTAAAACAATAGCGATAACACATATTGTATAACCAGGTACCCTTCTAATTACTTTATATATTAACTTATTTAATCCTCACAGAATCTTGTGAAAAGGCCACTGTTATCATCCCCAGCTTTCAGAAGGTTAAGGAATTAGTCACTGAGAGGGAAGCAATAAGTAGCTATCACTTCTGTCTAATGAGTCTATCTGTACCAACAATGACAAAAAAACTACCACTGATCCAACTAGCTTAGGTAAGTTTACAGCATACATGCAAACTGAGTACAATGCCTGGTACATACATAGCATGTGATCAATAAATGTTTCATTATTGGTTTTGTTGTTACACAAATTAACTTTATAACCTAGAACATATTCAGATTCACTGTCTCAGCTTTCAAAATGACCAACATGGACATCAGAGAAATACTGTGAAATGAAATTATGCTAAAATCAAGAAAGATGTAAAATACAGTTCACATATGAATACATGTTTCAGTCAACCTTAGTCATCCGTGAGAATCAGGGAGAACATTACATGGATGATACGTTCCATAAAAGGACATCACCTGCAGTTTTTTAAGGACTTCCCAGTGATATTACCAGTTTAAAGCAGGTCCAGCCCAATAGACTTAAGACAGTACAGAAACACACAAAGAAATCTGGCAGCAGTGAAAAACCGAACAGGAAAACAAAGAGTCGATCAATGAGTCCCAAGCACAAGGTACATACATCACCCCAAGGCAACTGACTTAGTGTACCGGGAAAGATTTACACAGGGAGATTTCATGCTGAAATCTTGAATTTTGAATTTTTAAAAGTCAATGGATCATAGTATTTATTTGGTATTATGTTTCTCTAATTCTGGACTGTCAGAATCACTACAGACTAGAAAGGATCTACCTTTGGTCTAATTTTTGAAAAACTAACTTTCCTCATTCATGAAATTAAACAGTGAGGTTGTATTTCTAATATCCCTCTTCTCTGTGAAATGTTATATCTGTATGACTTTACCTCATTAAAGATGAAATTGACTTTATCAGTGAAAATAATCACTACTACTGTAATAGGTTTAAATTAATTCAAGACAACAGAATAAAGCAATGATTTCCAGAAACAATAACATTTGAAATACCAAGGTTATTGCTAAATAGTTGAAAACTCCATCCACTAGCTACAATCAAGAGAAAAAGATTATCCTACCCTATAGATGAAAATTGCCTTATTTTTTTCCTGCATATATAAACAATGCACGTTATTGCTTTTTTTAAGTTGCAAACAAAATAAGGTAAAAAGAGACCTGAGATAATCACTATTAACAATTTGGTTGTTATAATTTTATGTACCTCTTTATGGACATATATATGTCTTTACGGACATGGAAAATGTACAACTGTTTTAAGTTCAGCACTATGCATACAATTAAGGTGGCACAGCCAGCCCCCATTCTGAAAGAGGGAAGAAGATTCATTCCTGGGGCAAAGCAATGCAGTAAAGAGACAGAACAAAATTGCTAAGAAATGAAAAAGACTTAACTACTGAATTAGGTGTGTGTGTGTGTGGGGGGGGGTTGGTGTTTTTTTACAACTAGGTAAATACTTTCATTTTATTCTCTACCTCCATTAATCTAAAAAGAGTACTGCCAATGCCATCTTCCTCAAAGATGACCTGAGGACCACTTCACATCCACCAAGTGTAGTGCTAAATCCCAAGCCCCCATGTCAGGGTTATAGAAATGGTCCATGGACTGCCTTACCGCTGTGATCCAGGACAAAGTCATCTTGGGCATAACGGAATTTTTCAGGTCCACATGCAATAAAAACATCATCATCACCAAAAAAGTCTTGCAGGCAAGTAACCTAAAAAAAAAATAAATAAAAATTCAAAATCACACCCAAGAAATAAATTAGAAACATTAGAAGTAAAATTAAAAGTCAGCAAAATTAAATCCATTTTCAAGCCTCGCCTATGATATTGAGTTGGAATGAAGAGCTGTTTAATATCACATTTCCAAGAATTTTACTCTTCACAGGGTGCTTTCAGAGTGTCCCCTGACCTCAGAACAACAGAACGAGGTGCTCAAAGCCGGCATCAACAGTCCTGCTTTAGGGGTGAAGTCAGGGACGCACACACAAGGTAAAGCGGCGTTTTCCAGGTCTCCGGTTAAGGGGCCTGCAAAGCTGGGGTGGATGGTGGTCTTCCCTCTTAGTTTAGTCTTCTTTACCCTTCCTCACTCTCCTGGCAACTCCGCCTCCCAGCATGTCACCTTGGCCATGACCTCTCTGTACCTCTGGTACGGTTAACCTCTGGATGTTTGGGGGACTAATGCATGAAAACTGGTGGGAAGGGTGCCAGGCACTTAAGTAGAGTATTCCCTCTTGATCTGAGGGGGTGCATTTCAAGACCGCTCAGTGGATGCCTGAAAGTGTGGATAGTACCAAACTATATTTACTATGTGTTTTTTTCTATACGTATACATATACACCTTTTCACTTAAAGGAAGCACTACTTACGCCTTCTCTTTGGCAGGTTTGAATTGCCAGCATCACTACATTTGTGCCTTGGGGTCATGATTAAGAAAAATGAGGGTGACCTGAACACAGCACTGTGATACTAGGACAGTAAAGGGCTTCCTAACCTCCAGTCTTCAGTACTGTAATATAACACCTGTTAGTTAAGAAGAGCTAACTTAATGAAAATAGCATCCCATTCAATAAAATATTCAATACCTAAGAATATTTCATGTTTGGACACTTAAATGATTCTATCTTTAAAGCAAAACATATTTCTTGTTCTTTAACTCTGGTGGTCTGTTTGTTCCTTTTATCATAAATTTTAAAACTGAGAGTTAACCTTGAGTAATCGGCCATGTCACTAAATCTGACTCAGAAAAACAACATGTCAATACCATGAATAATGTCTCTAAGTCATTCTTAACAAGGGTAAGGGAAAGGGCATCAGTTTAGAAGACCTCCTGTTCGCTGCCAATTCCTTCTTCAGTGCAAGAAGCCCTTCAGGGGTAATGGATGTTATGTGGCTTATAAAAGAAAGCCACACAAATGAGAGGAAAGCAGTATTTCTGCTAAGGTGCAAAATTAAAGCAATCAGCAGGATCTAATGGGGAGACATTCAACTGAGAAATAATATATCTATGGGAGCATATCTAAGCTTTCCAAATGAATGTGGGCCATTTAAAAACAGTAATTTTTCCATCCTTCGGTAGACAGATTGATTAGGTCAAGGGGACTAGGTGGCAGCCATAATTTCAGTGCTAGTTCTTAACAGGTTGCCACATCCATTTTTCTTTTTCTTTCCCTATTTGGTCTCTGTTAAAGGATATAGAAACAGATGCAAAGGCTTGAGGTCTGATAAAAAGACTATGCATGTACTGGGAGCATAATAAACCATTTCCTCAAAAGAAAAAAAAGATAGAGGACACAGAATTGTCATTTTTTTCTGGACACTGCTTTCTGAAACAGAGGAGGTCTCCACTTCCTGACCCATTGGCAGTCTTTGGAAATCATGTATTTCTTTCCCTTTCCAGAGTTACAAAGGAGTTGATGGTAAAGGAGGTTAGGTTTCTCTAAGAGCACTTCTTTCTACAAAATTCTGAAGTCCATTTTAGTTGGTAAAAGAAGTTTACATATTTATATTTTTGGAGACTTTTGTGAAAGTGGAGTGCATTCTTCTGAGAGGGGGGGAAAAAGAACACTATTTTAAGCAGATAAATAGCATTGTCCATTGGGGATTTATTTCTGTTCAAGTTCACCTTCATATGTCCTCAAAGAAATCTTCAACAAAATCTTCATGCCTACCAAATCCAGGTGTTCACTCAGAACTCTGGAATTTGTCCAACACAGACATTATTATTGAGGTAATTGCCTGGTTTTGTGTTCGGATGTCTCACTAGACTCTGAGCTGCATACATACAGAACCACTGTCTAGCTCATCACTATAATTCTGGCAGAGTTCATGGCACCTAACATGCAGGCTTTGTTCAATAAATTTCTGTTGAATTAAAAAATGCTTTGAGTCCCACTTCCTATAGGGAACCCTCTCTAGAGGCAACATTTACACTCTTTCTATGAATTCCTATCAACCCATTATCATGCAAAGCAGTCCTTGTGCTAGGATTTATGATGTTGGTTTTCTGTGCCAAGATAATCTATAAACTCCTTGAGTACCCAGCCAAGTCCTATAGCTCCTTAAAGAAGCTAATCAGCCAATACTTGATCAAATTTTGGCTCCAGTTACCTTAAAATAACTTTCTAAAAACTCATCTTAGATCATGTAAGCTCTTTGAAGAATTAAATTTCTTTCATCATTATTTCAGGGTGATTTGAGAAAAATTACTTGTGAAATCTACTACTACAACCATTCAGTAGAGGGGATTCAAAGCAAAGTAATTTGCTATTCAATCTTCCATTTGTTGCTACTTAGAGACTTGAGGTTGTATTTAATAACGGACTTCTGAGATACTTTCCAAACGTATTTTGTTGAGCATTTCCAAGATCTGATAAAAATGCAAAAGAAACATGATTGGGTCTCAGTGACAGACTAGCTTAAACGGGCATCAACTTTTCTAAATAAGAGTCAGGGTCAAAATCTTAGCGTCCTTGAAATGTCTATCTTGCGGAATAAGGACCACATTTTGTAGAAAAAATAATGTTAATGATAGATAGCAAGACTGTAAAATACATCTTGGAATTTTTTATAGATTTTCTTTCCTTTTAACTGTGTGTGTGTGTGTGTGTGTGTGTGTGTGTGTGTGTGTGAGAGAGAGAGAGAGAGAGAGAGAGAGAGATGTTGAGAATGAAAGCACACGCCTCCTGTTGAAATCAAATGCTTTCATTACTCAGATTTAAAGGGCTATTGCTACTGAAGAGCAGTTAAACAAAAAATTTTTTTATAGTTTACTTCTTAAGAGGATTTGAAGGAGCTCAGAAATAAAGTCCAGTAAATGGCTTATATTTGAAACTAAAATTATTACATAGGCTTTTTAAAAAAAATTATCTTTATTGTTGAAAGTATTACAGGTGTCCCATTTTTTCTCCCCATTGTCCCTCTCTACTTTGTTACCACCCCCTCCCCAGGACTTCATCCGATTATTGTCTGTGTCTATGGGCTATGCAGATATGCATATAACTTTTTTGGTTCATCTCTACCCACTCCCCACCCCCCTTCCCTCTTCCTTCTGAAATATGACCGTCTGTGGCATGCTTCAATGTCTCTGGGTCTATTTTGTTTATCAGATTATTTTGTTCATTAGCTTCTTCTCAAAGAAGACCCTTCAACATTTCATATAATACTGGTTTGGTGGTGATGAATTCCTTTAGCCTTTTGTTGTCTGTGAAGCTCTTTATCTGACCTTCAGTTCTAAATGATAGCTTTGCTGGGTAGAGTAATCTTGGTTGTAGGTTCTTGCTTTTCACATTTTGAATATTTCTTGCCACTCTCTTCTGGCCTGCAAAGTTTCTGTTGAGAAATCAGCTGAGAGCCATATGGGTGCTCTCTTGTAGGTAACTAACTGCTTTTCTCTTGCTGCTTTCAAGATTCCGTTTTTGTCTTTAACCTTTGGCATTTTAATTACGATGTGTCTTGCTGTGGGCCTCTTTGGGTTCCTCTTGTTTGGGACTCTCTGTGCTTCCTGGACTTGTAAGTCTATTTCTTTCACCAGGTAGGGGAAGTTTTCTGTCATTATTTTTTCAAATAGGTTTTCAATTTCTTGCTCTCCTACTTCTCCTTCCAGTACCCCCATAATGTGAATGTTGGTACACTTGAAGTTGTCCCAGAGACTCCTTACACTATCTTCATATTTCTGAATTCTTTTTTCTTTTTGCTCTTCTGATTGGGTGTTTTTTGCTTCCTCATGTTCCAAATCACTGATTTGATTTTTGGTGTCCTCTACTCTACTGTTGATTCCCTGTAAATTATTCTTTCTTTCAATTAGTGTAGCCTTCATTTCTGACTGGCTCTTTATGATGTTATTGATGATTTTACTAGTTTCCTTAATAGTCTTACTAAGATCCTTGAGCATCTTTAGGACCATTGTTTTGAACTCTGTATCTAGTAGCTTGCTTGGCTCCATTTCATTTACTTCTTTTTCTCGAGATTTCTTCTGTTCTTTCCTTTGTGACATGTTTCTTTGCCTCCACATTTTGGCTGCTTCCAGGTGTTTGTTTCTATATATTAGGTAGAGCTGCTATGTCTCCTAGAAATGTTAGAGTGGCTTTGTGTAGTAGGTATCCTGTAGGGTCCAATGGCTCAGTCTCCCCAGTCACCTGAGCTGGGCCTTCTAGGTGCTCCCCTGTGTGTGCTGTGTGCACTGTCCTGTTGTAATTGGGCATTGACTGCTATTGGCATCACTGGGAGGAACTGACCCCCAGGCCAATCAGCTGTGAGGACCAGCTCCAACTACAGCCAAAGAGCTGCTGTGCTGGAGACACTCCTATGGAGTAGGATTTACTTCAGTGGAGCTTTGTTGTTCACTGAGTCCCATCCTTTGAGTGTGTCACTCATGGGTGTGACAGGGTTGTAATCCAGTGTGGCCGAAGCTGACTACCGGGTACATTGTCTCTAGGGCCTCCCAGGAAGTGCAAAGTCAACCTTTGCCTGTGCCCTGCCCAGGGCCACCCAGCATGAGCTACACAGTAATCCGTAGATAGCTGTTGCTAGTGCTGGGCTTGGAGGTGTCCAGGAGAGGCCAGGCTATGAACCAATGCAGGCTGCCACTATTGCCAGTCCTGGGGCCACTTATTGAGAGGTATGGGGCATGCTGAGGCCAGCTGCTGCTTGTTTGAGAGACTTTAGGAAAGTCCTAAGCATGAAGCTAGAGAGTCCACTTGCACAGAAATGGCTT